TATATATATATATATATATATATATATATATATATATATATATATATATATATATATATATATATATATATATATATATATATATATATATATATATATATATATATATATTTATGATTTTTTATTTTATATTTTATTTTTAATTCATGTTTCATTTTTAATTTAATTATTTAATTTTATTTAATTTTATTTTTTGTAAATTTAGAGCATGCGACATCCACCTCTCTCCCCTTTCTCGAAACTCTGACCACAGTCTTTCCACTGCAGTTTCTTGCTCCTTTTATTTGTTAACATTCCCATTTAATGGTCCTCATTAGAGCAATTCTGCTAAAGATCTGGGTCATGAACAGATGTTCCTCTCTTTCCAATTTCCTGTGTAGGTTTCAGACCGAGGTTAATTACGACACACTGGAGATTCGGGACGGGCCCTCCAACTCGTCGCCTCTAATCGGCGAATACCACGGCACTCAGGCCCCCCACTTCCTCATCAGCACCAGCAATTACATGTATCTGCTCTTTACCACCGACAACAGCCGCTCCAGCGAAGGCTTCCAGATCCGCTACGAGAGTAAGTCAGCTTCTCAACTTTCCTCTGCAGTCATTTAAACACACAGATATTGGGTTTTCACACTCCTACAGTGGGCGCTTCTGCAATAAAGCATGTCTTTTTGGCTGGACGTGGTCTCTGTGGTGCATGTAATCCAATTCAGATAATTTTGGTTTCTCAAAAGTTACAGTCAGATTATAGTTTTATAGTTGTTCGAAAATAATTTGAAGAAGGCCAGCATGTACAGTCGAAGACAAAACTAGTGTCCCTCCTGTGAAATTTTAATTCTTGTGGTCCCTTGTTAATCATGGGAGTTAAGACCTGTGCACACCGAGACGTTTTTTGCTCACGTTTTTCGCTGCCTTTTAATGCCTCGTTACTAAATAAAGGGCGTCTATGTAATCGTGCACACCGACGCGCTAAACACCAGGCACAAAAGCGTCATTTAAAAAAAAAACGTTTTTTTGTTTTGACGCGCCCCTTTAAAACCTTCTCCACCAATCAAATTGGCACTTTTGTTCACGTGCACGGAGCTGCTGAAGTTACAGTAAACAGCACTTGGAGGCGCTCAAGCGCAAAACTGTCAATGCGAGCGCAATTTCAAGAAGATGCCCAGAGGTGATATTAACGTGGAGCTGCTTATTGCACTGGTTCTCTACATTTATAAGGTTTTACTGTGCTCATATTGCTTGATTTACTCAAATTGATTAAGTTCACAGTACTCATTAGGATTAGCTTTTGAACATAAAGGGCCATGAAACCCCCTCGTTTCAGCAGGGTGTTTTCACTCCTCTACTTTGGAAAAAGCTAGAAAAGTGGGCGTGTTCAGCTCTGTTTAGGGGGGAGTGTCAGAGGAGCAAAAGAGGGATGGTGTGGGAGTGTCGATATGACCACGCGCTGAGTTTCAGAGTCAAAACACTCACACACACACACACACAAACAGGGGAGAAAGTGACTGTGTGAGACAGGACAATCACCAGCAACTAGAGCCATGTCTTTATTAAGAGGAGACTACAAGCGAATTTGGATCTCCATTTGCAGAAGAGAAAAGCTCTCGGGTAAACAATGTTCCTAGACATTCGCGAACACTGTAATCCACGCGTGACTCCAGCTGCGCTCTCACAGAGAGAAAATGAAAACAAAACTTGACTAAAGCAAATTAGGAAAGCAACACTTCACGCTTGTTTTGTTAACACAATGTGGCGTCTCTCTGCCGTCTAAACACTGTAACATTAATGAATATTAATGAAGTTGCACAATAGAGCACGCTGATTGGTTTGAACCAAGTCTTACTCATGCATTAATGCAGCACACTCGGAGACGTAATACATTACACCTAGGTGCAGACGTCCAGTCTACACGCTGCACTACACGCTAAGATCTCATGGCCGTGACGCAGCTTCAAAAATTTGTTTCAAACCGGAAGTACGAATTTGCTCAAAACAACGCAAAAACAACCAATTTACACTTTTAAGTGAGATATATGGGTCCTAATAGTATTTTAAGCTTTGTGGGATACATATACGACTGTCAACAGCTCAAAAAATGTGTTTTGGTGTTTCTTGATCCTTTAAATGAGTTGTTGCAATCGGTTTCCTCAAATGGTTTGAGTTACCTTCACTTTTGGGGTTTTTAATCGGTGCTTTTTAAAACACTATTGATTGAGTTTGGGGAAGCGAGTGGGTGGGGGGATTGGTCAGTTGGTCAATCTGTCAGTCAGTCAGTCGACAGCAGCCTCTGGTGGATTTACGTGAGAAGAGCAGGCATGAATGGCACTCACAAGAGAAATTTGTGATCTCAAAAAGCATACACAGCAGCAACTGGTGGGTTCATAAAAATAAAAACTTAAAAAAAAAAAAAAAACTGCAAAAAAAAAAAAAAAAAAAAAAAACTAAGCTCCTGAGATGCATTTGGCGGTCTCCAGAAATGTATATAAGGGTACATTTTCAGAATGAGCCTGGGTTGTTTAAGTCAACTGGTTAACTCTTGGAAAAAAATAAGCGTGTTTAGCTTAGTATCTTGCAAAATAAGAATAAAAATAAATTATGCACTGCTATCATGGCAAAACAAAAGAAATGAGTTATCCAAAACGAGTTATTTAAACTATTATCTTTACAAATGTACTGATAAAAATATTCTCTCTTTTAAACACCACTTGGGAAAATATTTTAAAATAATTACAATTGCACAGGAGGGTTATTAATTTTGACTTTAACTGTATGTGATAGCATTAAATATCAGCATCCCGAGGCAGTAGATACATTTACAACATTTTTTAACGTTTACAACAATAATTAACGTGATCTGAAAATACAGTTTTGTTTTTTTCAGCATGTTTGGAGTTTATAAAGTGCACTTCAGAGAGTGATTAAATTTTAATGTCCTGCTGACACAAGGTCTGTTTGTTTGTTTGTGCAAGCTCAACAAATAGACTGATTATCATTGTTAAACGAATGTTTAATGTTCTTATAGTTGCTGGCGACTTGTTTGCAGGGATTAAAGCCAGAGCAGCCCAGAATCTGATTTGACAACTCTTTTTAGTGGGTCCCTCAGGAAAGAGGAGGAAATCTAAAGCTCACTGGTCTTGCATAGCACTTGCATAGCTTTGCCAATGTGTCTGTCCAATTTATAGGCCCGATCCCAATTCTCTTTAGCTTGAAGGCTTAGGGCTAAGAAGAAGGAGTAGATAGTCCTTCGAACGAAGATTTTTCAGGACCACACCCAAAACCAAGGGTTAAGAATATTTCCCAGAATACAACAGCCATACACCAGCCACACTGGCAGGATAGCTGCACCCGGAAGTAAGGAGATCCACAAATTAATATGTTTTGTCATTATTACAAATTTTACAACAAACAAGCACATGTTTTAATATATTCATAACCACGTTCGTGTTTTACCGTTATGTTTACAAACACGCAACCCCCCAC